GCGTTTTTTTGAAAGAATTAATAAATCATCACAAAAAATACCATCCTTGGCTCAGGTATATGTAGCTGGTTTTGGTTCAGGCATTGCATGTTTTCTGGTCAGTACACCAACAGAATTGGTTAAATGTAGAGCTCAGGCTGTTAAGCAAAAAAGTCTGTTTATGTCATCAACCACATGGAATGTGTTTAAAGATATAATTCAAACGAGAGGAATCAAAGGTAAATTAGGTAACCAGCTTATTCATTTAAAATATACAAGGTTTTAATAAAATATTGTATTAACTTTAGGACTTTATCAAGGCGGTCTTATAACAATCATTCGTGATGCCCCAGGTTATGGTGTTTATTTTTGGTAAGCCATTAATTTTTTATGCGATGAAAATTATTAAAATTTATTGATAATTTTATTTTATTATTTAAGGACTTATGAAGCACTTAAGCGTTCGTTGAATGTGACATCAGACAATTTTGATCATTATAATAGTCCAAAGTTACTTTTTTCTGGTGGAATGGCTGGTGTTCTCTCATGGGCTAGCATTTACCCTTTAGGTTAGTTGTCATAATTCTAATATATAGGTCATTTAATATTAATTAACATGTAAAACGACGTCATTTAGATGTAATTAAATCACGCATACAAACGCAACCTGTTTTATCTAAATCTAACATGAACAAAACAATGACATCGTTTGTCTACTATAATCGGCCTTTAACCAAAATTCATGTATCTTCTACATCTTGTTCTGGCATTATTGGTTGTGCTATATGTTCATATCGTAAGGAAGGAATTTCTGTATTTTTTAAAGGGATTACACCTACGCTTGTGAGGGCTTTGCCAGTAAACGCAGTAACTTTTTATGTCTATGAAATTATGATTCGCTGGTTGAATCGTTTTCAAAATTAAGAATCTTATTGTAGTTATAGATTTGGGTGCTAATTAATTTCTTAAAAATTGAATTTTTGCGAAGTAAAGAATTAATCCGGAGCGGAATTGAAATTTCAAGCTTAGCTCTTGACAAAATCAAGCAAAAACTTGATAATCAAATATTTGTGATTAGATCGAACGTCAAATAATCTCTAGTGTTTAGATTATCAAAATTGGTTTATTAGATCTCAAGATATACCGATTGTATAACTGCATTATAATCATACTGTAGTCACTATTATTCAATGTTGAAAATAGTCGTATTGCTAACGCTAATGGCATGAAGAAGTTGCGTACACTAATAAAAAAGAAAAAAACGT